ATGAATAGGTAAGCAAGAGAGCAATTATATTGGTCCTTTTTAATAGCCAACCTGTCAGATCATTTACATCTGCTCAAGCCAGCTCTTGGTTTCACATCTTATCTAAAAGATAGCAGCTTCATCAGTGCCTCGGTACCAAAATGTCAGCTTACATTATGCTTTCAAGTTCTGGACCAGGGTGTGAAACCAGAACTCTGATTCCATTTAAAATGGGAACACATCTGGATGACAGTCCTGCAGATGTGCTGAGAACAATTTCTGTTTTATATGCACTACTATATCGAATAGGTGGAGTTTAACACACTGCCTTACATTCATAAATAACGTGAACCTTCTGTTTAATGGTGGGCTCATATGATTTCAATTATGTAACCACTGACTAGAAATTAGTCTGTTGCTAATTGCTCAACTATTGTATTTATGAATGGCTGCAAAAACAATCGATTGCCTCAGGCTGGAATAATCCCAGTTTGTGGTTCTTGCTATATTGATTTTGTGATGAGAAATACAAACAAGATTTCATCAATACGATCTGCCATATTTCTCTGGTTTTGGTGCTGTAGACTTTTACACCTGTTAATGGTTGTGCCTTTTAATGGTTCTTTAATTAAAAGCTATTTGCAGTGTGATTGAAAGTGCTTCTTCACCATTTTCTGAGAATTTTAAAAATCTTAATTACGGCTTTAATTCAGTAGTACCAAATGCATGTTAATTTAATAAAAGTGCACTGATGCAGTTTTGTTCTGGTAACTATTTCAATTGCGTTTGTAGTTAACAATTTTAATCAGTTCTGAAGGAGGGTTGTTGGATTGAAACATTAATTCCGATTTCTCTCCACATGCTGCCAGACCTGCTGAGTTCCTCCAGCAATTTCTGTTTTGGATTTTATTTCTGATTTCCCGCATACATAATTCTTTTGACTTTTTAAATAAATAAATTAGTTGACCTACTCTGACATGTAATGGCACAAATCTGGGAAAGGTTGGACATGCCTGGACCTTTTAACCAAAAGTAAGGACACTTCATGGTAAGACTTGACACCAGGATTTTCTTGGCAGTGACACCTCCCTGTACTGATGTAAATATCCTTCCAGAAGTGAATGCTTGATTGGTCAAGATTAGGTTTCTGATAGACAGTTCCTGCCCCACAGGGGACACTGTGAACCACAGAGTGTGCACTTCAGTTTTGTGAATGGCAGTTCTAGTGTAAATAATGTGTAAGAATTTTTCTGCCTTGAATGCAACTAATACGAATCAAATGTTGTACCTGGTACAAGCTATTGATTTCCATTCCAGTGTGTTCTATTGCATGTAGCACACTTGATAAATGTAAATTTCCTTAGCCAACTTTCCATTTTAAATCTTTGTTTTGACAATATGGTTGGAAACTGGTGATATATGCTTTTCCTAAAGACCTCGGTCTGTGCGTGGGCCAGTTAATTAGTGGGCAATGACATTCGTGCCCTTTCTTCTTTTCCTCTATCCCTGCCTGTAAAATGAAGACCCAGCAGTAGCCAGCTTATCTTCAAATCAAACCAAGTCAATAGCATAAGTAAGTGTTACCTTCATTACAGCATATTCTTATGCAAAAATATACTGAATGTGTAATCTTGGTTTAATTTTACTCATTTTTGCTGGAAATTTGAATGTGTGGGAACTGGATAAGCTGCCAAACTGACTGTCTGTGTGCTATCTCATAGAAAAGATTAAGTAGCACTTTCCAAAGCAGAGATCGGTAGTTCTCCTGGTGACTTGGCCATCACCAAATGCCTTTGAAAAATAAATCCTCTGGACCAATTATCGTAGAATCCAACAACAAAGAATGAGCCTATTTAGCCGATTGTGTCTGTGATAGCTATCTTGCAAAAAACTCACCCCATTCCCCTACTCTTTGCTTCATCACCCAGTAAATTTCTCTTGTTCAAATATACAAAAATCTGAAAATTATGATTGAATTTGATTGGACCATCAAGGGCATGCAGTGCACAACTTTGCAGAACTTTACAAGCTTATCACTTATGCAGTCAGTGATGAGCAGTTATCACATCTGTGTTCTTGCGGTTTGCTGTGTGCGGATTGGCTCCCTGTTAATTGGATAGGTCAACTCATTTACAATACAAATTTTTTTTTTAGAATCCCTACAGTGTGGAAACAGGCCCTTCGGCCCAACAAGTCCACACCGACCCTCCGAGCATCCCACCCAGACCCATCCCCCTATAACCCACCTAATCTACACATCCCTGAACATTATAGGCAATTTAGCATGGCCAATCCACCTAGCCTACACATCTTTGGACTGTGGGAGGGAACCGGAGCACCCGGAGGAAACCCACACAGACATGGGGAGAATGTGCAAACTCTACACAGACAGTCGCCCGAGGTTGGAATTGAACCCGGATCCCTGGCGCTGTGAGGCAGCAATGCTAACCATTGAGACACCGTGCCACCTCTGTTACAAAATTTTACTGTTTGCTATTAATAAAACTTCAAGTCTTGTACCATGGTGCCTTGGCTCTGCATGTCACATGTGTTCCTGTTGATTTCCGTGGAATTGGATAAGCTGCCAAACTAACGGTCCGTCTGCTATCCCATAGGAAAGATTAAGTAGCACTTAATTGTGTCTACCTATGACCACCTGTGGTGCAACAGCACTTTAAAAAATACTTTCAGACCTCAAGTCTACAAATTTCAAACAGAATTTACAAATATAAAAGCAGTGTACTGTGATCTGGAAATAGTCATAGAGTCGTACAGCATGGAAACAGACCCTTCAATCCAAGTAATCCATGCCGACCGTGTGCCCAAACCAAACTAGTCCCACCTGCCTGTGTTTGGCCCATATCCCTCCAAACCATTCCTATTCATGTACTTATCCAAATGTCATTTAAACATTCTAACTACCTGCATCCACAATTTTCTCGTTAGGGCAGTTCATTCCACACACGAGCCAGTCTTTTTTTTAAAAAAAAAACAAAAACAACTCTGGAAATAGCAGGTGCTCAGGAGATCCACTTTGGAATTTTCCCTTCCTGGTGTCATATGAGCAATGGCAAAAAAGCTGGGAAAATAATGAGAAAGAGAAAAAAAAAGAGAATCTTGACGTAAAGAATTGTTTATCCTGATTGATCCCTTCAAGCCTTAAAAAAATCGCATTGAGCATCAACTACCTTATTTCACATCTTTAAATCCTGTAAAAGCCTCAACTTGCTTTATTTATATGCCATTTCCAATTCTACTGCCCTTGCCTGAGAAAATAAATGGCACATTTTCCTGACATGTAGATCAGAGCGGATCCTAAAAGTTGTCAGTCAGTTATTTGTCCCAGCCATCGTGCAACTGCTTTTTTGCAACAATGTTCCTGCATGCTCCGTGGTCACTACCATCCTCGAACCTTTTGTCCACGCAGCCAACTTGGACAGCATTTCAAGTGAGCCCTGCAGCACTAGCTCAGAGACACTTGCGGCTTGCATGCTTTTGCTAGGTTGCGCTATACGCAGTGGTGTCCGTACATCTACGCTGGACGTTTCTTATGGCAATTAGCTTTTTAGTACTTGCTCACATTATGCTTGCTTGGAGGCTGCAGTATTGGTCTACTTCACGTTGCTGTCTTTGTGCATTCTCTTTGACTTCAGCATTGACTTGGGCTGCAGCTTGTGCCCAGGATGGCTTGGCCTCACGGTGTGGGCTCCTGTGACGCTGGGCTAACCAAACGACTGCATATCTCTCCATCACCCCATCTACCTGTATGTCCAGGTCATGCTGTGCAGCAGGCAGCTAGCTTTCTTTTTCTCTTGGCCATGTCCTAAATACAGAGGCTTGAGCAGCGCTGTGGAGGGATGGTTCCTGGCTTAGAGTCGGAATTGGCGTGAAGCCGGTCTTTAAATAGGGCGCCAGAGATGAGAGCTGGAAGGTCGTTGCAGCGACAGGCCCTTCTGCCCCTCTAACTACATGATTTCTCTTTAAAGAGTGCCCAAGTTTAGGATTATCTAATTAATGATGCAACAAATGGAAGATTGTGGCTTTCGTCACTCAATAAAATGCTTTAATTGCAAATGGGTAAAATTCTGCCCAAAGTAATTTTACTTATGGCCATTTGGATAAATTTAAGCATCACAGCTTTATCCAAAGAGCAGCTGTGTGTAACACATTTGCCATGGGTGTATTGATGGTTGATATGTGTTGACAGACCTGAAATTATTTTAAGTAATATTGTGTAATGTAACTATCCAGTTCATCATATTAGCTATCACATTTTCAGTAAAACCTGGCTTTCCTCATAATTTTAAGAGTTGCCTGAGTCAATAATTGTACTGCAAAAATCAACATGCTAATTTGTACATTTCCTTAAATGACTTGGCAACATTTCACCCTGTTCATATTCTGTTTGTACATCTTGGTGACTGCACTATTTCTTCTGGCCAGTAAGCATTTAATGATTATTAAGAGTACATGTTGTGCTTTTTTTTATACCAGTGAAACATCAGGAAAGAAAAATGCAGAAAACTCCAATATTACTTAACAGATTTTACTTGCAGTGGAAAATTTGCACTTCAGAGGTTGTTTGTTCTTCTGGAAGCTAAATGTAAATCCGTACCAATGTAACTGATTTTGGAAGGACAGCTAACAGCAGTATTTAACTTGTACTGCAGAGAATTTATGGGGTTTTCTCTCAATCAACTAATGTATAACTCATCGAATAAGATCTCTTCGTTCAACATGTGTAAATAAATTGTAATTTTAACAAACCAGATTTGATGACTCATTATGCAACTTTAATGTAAAAGTGCTAAATTAGTTGCAGTTATTTAAATTGCAACTAAATAAAAACAGCATATCTGAGGACAATTTTCTGGGTGAATTATTGTGGAAAATGTCATGAGTTATTTGTTTGAAAGTGCTTTGTAATGCCAAATGTTCCTTGGTGAATACCTTTTGAGAATCCAGTGACTAATTCCTGGATGTGGCAATGTGCTAACTTGGTTCTGTTTGCTCATTTACAGGAATGGGTTACAGCAACTGATATCAAAGTGACCTTGAATAGATTGAACACTTTTGGAGATGAGGTCTTTAATGACCCAAAGGTTCTGAAGTCTTACTATTACGCCATTTCGGACTTTGCAGTTGGTGGAAGGTATTTTTTAATTGTTTCTTCATTTTTATGTTTGTTTTAAAATCTGTGTTCTTGTTAACTCATGGCCATGTAACTGCATGAATTTTGCTGTTTTTGAAAAATTCTACTGCCAATGATGTTTAATGTTAGATCACCAAAGTTACTTTGGTATCGACAGGTCATAAACCCGGGGAACACATTGAAATACAATGATAATGTGCAGTAGGCTCTAATGGAGACTGAAGTTGTGCTAATTATATTTGGTATTGGGATTTTTGCAAGTCTGGTATTTGAAGTAGTTACAATATTTTCGCTAGGTTTAAGTTACTTCTGTAATACTTCATTCCCTTCCTATAAAAGGGAGACTCCTAAAGGCACTAAAGTTTATCAAACTAGTGCATGTTTGTGTGTTTTTGACTCTGATTTATGGTGTGAGTTTACATTCACCAGGGTGTTTTTACTTGATGTGACCATACTTTAAATTATGTTCCGTGATGTAAAAAAGGACTGGGAATAGATACTATGGTATTATAGAATGCAACAGACATATATTGCAGTAATTACTATGTACAAACTTTATATTCCTCAGGCGCATAACATTAAGCTGTTAGGTAACAATAGAGCAGCATGCTTTCAGTAGAGTGTTATGCTTTTAGTGATAAGAAGTAAGGTGGGATTTGAGACTTGTATATACCCTCAGGTCACATGCTATAGTACAATAATGATGTCACAAGCAGGGGTTTTAAAGGAGCACTGATGTATTGATGGTGAAACTTAACACAGCAATTAGATCAGATTATGTAGTCCTGGGTTGTAAAGATTCCGAAGATTTGCGAATTATTTTGGATTAACCATTAGGAGTTCACACGAGATCTTTCCTTAAAAACTGTATGTACGAATGGCCATGGCCATGCAGCAATGTAACGGTACTGCGAAGGCAGTTTGTGATCTTTTCCTTTTAAGAATGCCAAATGTGCAGTTCTGCAGATATAATTTTAAAGCTACCACACTTAACGAATAAGATTTAAACAGGATATTGGTCGTAACCAATACAAAATGCCAGATCAATAAGGAGCTAATTTAATATTATTATTATTTTTTTAAAGGGAATGTATGTTCACAAATGGATTAATTCACATACTCAATGTTTGGTGGTTAGTGGCTCATATTTAGGCCTACGCTTAACAGGTTATGAAATGAGTTGGAATAGATGAACAGAAGTAGATTGCTTAACCCCTTGAAACTGTTTTACCTTCCATGGCTATTTTATATGCCAAATCTATTTATTCATCTTTGTACTATATCCCTGCATGTCCCCCCCTTTCAAAAAATCTGTCAAACCCTCGCCTTGAAAATTTCAATTGACTCTACCTCCAGGGAACAAAGTTCCATGTTTCTACTTCCCTTTCTGTGTGATTCTGATTCACTGCTGTTGCTTAACTTTGAATTTAGCTGCGAACTTAATTCTGTGTTTTCTGGAACATAGAACAGTTCAGCAGACCTTGTGTCTTCCCGCTCTGATTAATGTAAATCAGACCAAATAATGGGAACAGGAGAACAATTGTTTAATAGTTGGTGCTACAGAGTTGGGTTCAACATGAAACAACACAATCATGAATTAGCAAGAATGTATAAAATTCATTGAAATAAGGGATTTAGTTTGTGGGCAGATGGAGCGTAGATAAACAGTAGGAAATCTGTGAATGTGACAAGGTTACAGTGCAAGATACGGAGTTTCAGTACGGAGTCATATCAAAGAAAAAGCTCTGTGCTCAGAAATTCAAATCAGACTTAATTATAAAAGTGAGGCCTGTGAGAAAATTAGTTCAACAAAAGACTACTGTGAAATATAGAGTAAAAGGGAGATGAAAAGAAAAAGATAAACCAGGAGTGAATATAAGAAAAAGCTAAAAGCACGAAGGAGAAGGTGGGGGGGGGGGGGTGGGGGCGGTCAGATGCAAAGACAAAGAGTTGTCTTTCAGCACCCTATCCCTGCCTCAGATTCGGGCAAATATAGAATTCTTCCCCAAAGCAAAAAGCAGGACGCTCCATTATTATAGTGATCGTGTAGTCTATTACTTTCTTTATTGGCTGGGTCAAAAGTTAATTGGGCCTGTGGCAAAATGATACCTTAACTCAGATCTTAATTGAACTCAAATAAATCCTATTACAATTGTCCTGAGTCCTTTTCCTTCTAGCTTTGTAAATCCTTGGAGAGGGTGCAGAAAAGATTTACTGCGTTGCTAACAGGGATGAAGAATTATGTGGAGATAGTAGAGAAACTGTAGTTGTATTGTTGGAGCAGATAAGGCAAAGAAGAGTTTTAAAAGAACTGCTCAAAGTCATGACCAGTTTTGATAGAGTAGATCAGGGGCTGAATCATCTGTTTTTATTTCTTGTGTGGCACTTGGAGATGACAAAAACGTTTAATTAGGAAAAATGGGACATACATTAATCCTGTCCACCTTTGCCAGAATTAAGTCAGGAAGGAGAAGACTCTTTAGACCTGCACTGTTATCAATTGAGATCCATAGGTGACCAACTATAAGGACCATGTAAAGGTCTCATTCAACTGCTGCTGGTATGACCGCAGCTGCATGTGGATCTAGCAGAATGCAGCCTGCGTGACAGGCAAAACTGTGACCTATTTGTCATCTCCCAGGCGCATGGTTCCTTGATCAGAGTCACTGTGTGACTCTGGTGCCTGCCCTTATAGTCATAACGACTGCTTGCTCAGTGGTGTTAGTGAGCATTAAAGTTGTTGGCCTCTGATTTGTTTCCAAGGGAGTGATCTCTGGCCGGGTCTTAATCCTGGTAAAAGGCCCACTGTTGGCCTTTCCTCTGTTTGATTGGTTTGGTGTGCTTTCCACTAAAGAGGCAACCAAGTTCGTTTAGCTCTCCAGCCAGAAGGTGAGGCCCCTGATGCCTCAACAAAATTCCAGCCAAGATTTTTGATGGAAGGCACAATTTTATAGCAATTGGGAAAGAATCAGAAATGAAAGAGGGGAACTTTTTTTGCCACTGAGATGATGATCTGCATCGTCTGAAGTGGTGGCAGCAATTTTGGTAATAATCTTTCAAAATGATAAATTCTTGAAAGGCTAAGGGGCGAGAACAATGGAGTGGGATTAAGTGTATTGCTTTATCTGCGAGCCCACTAATGTTAGATGAAACGATCCATCACTACCTATGACATATCATTCTGTTTTATGAATGAAGAGCATATTTGTGATTAAGGTAGCAAGGCATCTTATGGGAAGCTTGTTATAAAAGAAAACTTGTATGGTTCAAAAGGACATGTAAAAGACAATAACAGGTTTTCTTTTGGAAAAAAAGAGAAAATGATGTAACCAGAGTTTCAACGGATGCTGTCAGGATTGGAGAACAGTTGAAATGTTGTGGGCCAGGATTGGTGCTGAGGTCAATTTTATTCTCCGTATTTATAGAAATATGGTATTGATGTATGACCTTTTAAAACATGCCATTTTTCAAGTGTGAAGCGAAGTGTTGAGTACTGAAAGCCGGTATAAAAACTCTTTTGTCCTCCATATGTCGAAGCAGTCCATTTCCCCAACCCGTCATGAACCAGTTAGAGCAGCCCCAGTTAACTGAGAGTTTAGTGCTGTAACTATTTTATTGCTTCCTCTTGTTGCTACTTGGACTGACTGAACACAACTGGGAATCAAGTGAGGTTGCTTATTTTCAGTGAGAGATATGTTGTTTTGAGAAATCTAATTTACATTGTATAAACTAAGAATTGGAATAGAAATCTTCCCAGGAGAAATGTCTGGTTTGCTTAAAAAGCTCAGAGTTTTTGTTTTTCAAAGCAACAGCTCAGGAAAACACCCACACTCCCCAACATGGAGTTAAACACTTGCATTACGAAACAATTGGCACAACTAAAGTATAATGCAGTGTTACGGTTGACATATATTTGACACCTCTCCCTCACATGCATGCGCACTCTTTTTCTCATGCTGACTCTCCCCACCCCCAATCTCTCTCTCTCTCTCTCACTCACACCACTCAACCCCCACCCCCCGTCAGTATCTCTCACTGCACTTCCACTCAACCACTCAGCCATGCCCCATGACACTCACTCTCCACCCGTGTGCCTGTCTGTCTCTGTTTCTCTTCCTTTTTCTCTCTTCTCACTCTTCCTCTTTCCTGGCCCCCCTCCTCCTCCTCCTCCTCCTCCTCCTCCTCCTCCTCCTCCTCCTCCTCCCTCTCTCTTCCACCCCCCCCTCCTCTTTCCTCTCTGTTTTCCCCCCCTTCCTCTTTCCTCACTCCCCACCACCACGCCCCCAGTATCTCTCATGACTCCCTTCTCAATCATCTAGACCTGCTCTTCCAGTTAGCTAACACCCACCAATAGCAGCAGCTCCAGATGATCGCTTTTCCAACATGCCTTCTCACTCATTCCTCCTCACCACTCCCCCACCCCAAACTGCAGTTTGCTTAGGCCCACCCCTCTCTTTGCCCCGCTGGTCACGTTGTCACTCACTCCTGCCCCCTTGTCCCTGCGATGAAATCTATTTGCAACATTCTAAGACTGTAACCTTCAAATTTGCTTTGAAGGTGCTGCATTTGACAATTTCATAATGTTATTATTCAATTCTGCTCAACTCTAGAGAATGAGCTTTATTGCAAAATTTTCAATAGGACATTCAAGATGGTGTGTTGAAGAGGAATTCAAAGGTGATGGGCAGGGAGTGATGAGATGAGATTCAATCAGAAGCAAATTGCATATCAGGGCTGCAACAGTTAGCTGAGCTTCTGTGAAGGAAACTGAGCTACACCTGTTTTGTAAGGGACTTAGTGTGAGGTTGAGAGCAATGAATGGTTGGAGCTTTGGAGAAATTCTAGGAATTAGTAGGCAGCTAAGTGTTGTATTCAAAACTCAAATATCCTTGGAAGAGTGGAAGGCCACAGGCTTGGTGTTGGTAGCTGTGAAGGCTAAGAAAAAGCATTTAGGTTTTAACACTTGGGTAAAGTGGACAGTGTTGGCAGTATTTGCTGGA